TAACGAGGTGCACACACTACAAAACATTCAAGAGGCATTCCCGACCATCAGCGAAAATTAAATCTCACATAAATTCTCGAGAGAAATTACAGCGATTATAGGCCATTTCTTCAAGCACGGACGATCAACTGGCCCTTCAATTGGTCTGTGCAGTTATTTTATCAGAAAGAAAGAAGAAACCACGAAAAAAGAGAATATGGCAGAAACAATGGCTTGGAAGACGTGGACAACAAGGACTGTCAGTACTGCAGAAACAGGTTGAGGTAATTAAACGGTGATTTGTTTTTCAGAGTTTGCAAAGCCAAAAAATCCTACCCAGTTTAGAATGGGTTCAGCAGTCTTTTATATCTTCAGTCAATTTGGGCCTTGACTGCACAATGGAGTACACTCATATATGTTAGATTTTCTTAACCCAAGTCTTAAAAACCATTCATTTTGAAACTTAAGCTTAATGCTGTCAAAATGTAATTTTTCATGTAACATTGTGTTTTCAAAATAGCCAAGATCAGATTTAGAGACACTACAACATCTTCACATGCTTTAAAAGACAGTGGCTAATTACACCAAATGTAAAAAAGGTAGATGCTGTTTACTGTACATTGAGTGTAAATGGTGACCGGTATTGTTTATATCAAGTATAAATAGAAATACTAGATATTTGGATTTAAATGTTGCTCCCGGAGTAAACTGGCACTTTGCATTCAGCTGACACTTTTTTACTTTTAAAGAGGAATGTCTGAAGAACAAATAATGTTTTAGTAACTAGTAATGTAGCTTGTTTCCCTCTATCTAAACAATTGGATAGAACACACCTGTCCCAGTGCCATATATATTATTTTTCCAAAGTTTACATGCCTTTACCTCAAGAAGCATTAAAGATATCTTAATGTCTTTTTAAAGTCTTTTGTAATCTTCATTTTAAGGCCCTGTCTGGTTCAATCTCTGGAATATGGGGAGCCCATAAAAAAAAATAAAAAAAAATGTGGGTGACTTTGCAAACAACTGATACTTACTGTATTTAAAGAACAATGTCTGAAGAACAAATAATATTGAAATAAGAAATATATTTTGTTTCCCTCTATCAAAACAAATGCATAGAACAGTGTTTTCCAACTGGGGTGCCGTCTGGTGAGTAATGTGTAAAAAAAAAAACTGTGATCTGTACAGACCAAGCTCAAAAAAAGTTTATCGTTTGCATGTTTCTAAGTCTTACCATTCAAGCAATTTTAAACCATTCAAGAAGAGGTGAAAGAGAACTCAGTCCGGCACTCGCACACTGATTTCTGCACACACAGAAATCAGTTCTCTTTCATGTCTCCTTGCACTTGAATGGACACATATGCACAACATTATCTAAAAATACCCATTTTATGGCGTTAAAAATTGGACAAAACCGTGCAAGCGAATGACAGCTGCGCACGCGTTTTTGATGTGCATTTATAATAACAAAAATGGGTGTCGAATACGTGTGTTTAGAGTCGGACAAAACGCACATTATGAACATGTAAACAGGTAAACCAAATAGGCAGTGCACACATCTGTTTGAAGTGTCC